CGTTTGCTAGATTGCCACCTGATGTGTACCGCGGGTTCCTGCTGCCCCTGTTGGAAGATCATTGATCGCAAGTGTCGGCCCCGACGTTCCGGTAAATCTTCAAGTGAAGGATACTTTTTGACCTGGTTTTCACCCGTGTTTATCTTTTCTTTTTATTCACAAATCTCACAATGTTCAACTTCTCGAATGTAACTGACACGAACTGTGTGAATGAGTGCGAAGTGACTGAATACGAACCGCCTTAAACGATCCGCATTTCCCCGTTTTTTGTTTTCCTTATTAGTTGTACCGCTGTTAACGCTTCTGGACGCAATACACACACTGCCATCGCAACGAGACTGGACCTTAACGTGGTGCGACGGTTTGCGTACCTCATTGACCCATTGAGCTATACTGAGTGATGCCTCCGAGCATCTTGAGAGCTACTCCTACCAGGTTGGTCAATGGTGAGAGGTCAGACAAACTCAGTCTCCTGGTCCTCCACGTTGGGGGTTTGAAATGGGATGGCGTCCCTTTCTGTAAAACTAAATCACTGCCACCCGCTGCCTTGCGGACAGGCTTTTGAGCCAAAGGCTTTGGATGAGGACCCTAATCGTCCTCCTGTCTAGGTCTGGGCGCCCTGGCAGTATCCCAGCCCACATACAACCATGACATTTTCTTCAAACATAAACTTCATCCTGCATCGGCCGTCGCGCAGAGTATCAAGGGTCGCCTTATCTGCTGCATACAGCAGGGCGGATAAGCGAAAACATGCTACTGCTGGCGCCTCCCTTCTTTCTTTTCCACCTTTTTTTCCCTTACTCCCATCCCGGCCCCCATTACTAACCTTCCTTCTATAATTCCCAGCTTAATTGACAGCAACCGAAGTGCTACTGGAGTAGTACCATCTGCAGCCACCATCCCACAGCACCTATTGGACGCCTATCGGCAAAAGTCCCTTATAAGGCCACGCTGTCCTGTTTCCATGGCGACATTCAACGTGCGCACTCTAAGACAAACAGGTCAGCAGGCTGCACTCGCACGCACCTTGAGAGTTGATGTGTTTTGTGTGTCCGAAACTAGGATTAATGACCCTAACGGGGTTATTGAATTGACTGCACCCGGCTTATCCTCTCGTTATTCGTTGCACGCATCCGGAGACGCCGATGCGGCACTCACGGGTCAAGCTGGTGTAGGTATCATTCTCAGCTCCAAGGCTGAGTCATCGTTGGTTGATTGGATTCCGGTGAACAGCCGTTTATGTGCAGCCCGTTTTACGACATCAGCTAAGGTGAATTCGCGAAGTAAAGCAAAACGCTGTTTGTTTGTGATTTCCGTTTATGCTCCCACCGACTGCAGTTCTAATGCAGTCAAGGACACATTCCATGACGAACTGAACGCGGTACTACGCAGTGCTACTAGTTCAGATATTAGAGTACTTGCAGGGGATATGAACGCACAAGTAGGGTGTCTGAGCTCTTCAGAAGCTCAGCTGGGTGGAAAGTATGGACTTAACTCTGAACGGACTGACAACGGCGAGCGTCTGCTGCAACTGTGTGCGGAGCACCAGTTGTTTCTTACTAGCACTGCTTTTAGACACAGTGGGCGTCGAAGTGCCACTTGGCGTCCACCTGTAGCTGGCCAACGATGGACCCAAATTGACCAAATAGCCATAGGTTACAGGTGGCGCGGTTCCATTCTGGATTGCCGCTCATACTGGAATACCTGTGTCGACTCTGATCATGCCTTGGTACGCTGTCGTTTCTCCATGAACTTTGCCGGAAGGCGCACAAAGCGTTTCCTCCGATTGGCAACGGAGGAATTGTCCCAGCCCTCGGTCAGGCAAGCCTATCAAGAAGCACTGCATAGCGAACTCTCGCTGTCTTGTCCTACTGACACTGAACTTCAGTGGAATAGGATCTCGGCCGCTATGCAGGACGCAGGATCACCTGTTTGTAGCACTATCCGTCGTCACCGCACCAGTCACTGGATATCCGAAAGGTCCGTGAACCTGTTGGAATCTAGAAGACACCTCCCGGCTGGTTCTGAACACAATGTGACCAGACGGGCTATTAGGCGTGAACTAAAGCGGAGTCTACGTGCTGACAAGGAAGCCTGGTGGACCACTCGGGCTCAAGAAATGGAGGGGGCAGGAGCAGTAGGCAATTAACGCAAGCTCTTCCAGCTAATCCGCACCACTGGTCCCAGAAAACCAGGCGTCAGTGAGAGAATCAGAGACAGCGCGGGTACGCTGATACACAATAAGGAGCGCCGTATGGCTCGTTGAGCCGAACACTTTGAAGATCAGTTCAGCTGGCCCCCTGCTCCCGGACCTCTTCCTACTCAGGTGATGCAGGACTTGCCATGGACGGTTAGTTTAGAGCCTCCGTCGGAGGCCGAGGTCCAAAAGGCGATCACAGCCCTCAATCGTTTTCGTGCCGCTGACCTGGATTCCCTCCCACCTGCACTATTTAAGGATGGAGGTGAGGTCCTCTGCAGGGCACTGACCTCCCTATTCGAACGTATCTGCAACGAAGAGTGTGCCGGCTAATTGGAGCGAATCGATTATAGTGGCAATATACAAGAAGGGCAGTCGCACAGACTGTACGAACCACAGGGTTATTAGCCTAACGCCAGTTGTGACAAAATTACTGGCTTTGATTATCGTTCGTCGCCTCACTGCAGAACGGGAATCTCGGATTAGGGAAGAGCAGGCCGGTTTTCGCCCAGGACGTGGTTGTATAGACCATATATTTACTTTGCGGCAGGTGCTAGAGCAGCGCCACGCATACCGCAGACCGACAATAGCTGTGTTCCTCGATTTCAAGAGTGCGTTCGATTCAGTCGATCGATCGATTCTGTTCGAATTACTTGCGCGGAAAGGTGTTCGCACGAAATATGTGAACATCCTTCATGCTCTATACTCGAACACTACAGGCCGCGTCAGGGTTTACGGTGTCCTATCGGATAGCTTTCCGACCACAAGTGGCGTTCGTCAGGGTTGTCCAATTTCCCCGTTTTTGTTCAATTTCGTCGTGGATTCTATCATGGAGTGTTCCCTTGCGGAATCCCACGATGTAGGCGTTGAAGTGCTGCCTGGTGAAAGGTTAGTTGATCTAGGTTATGCGGACGATATCGTCTTGCTTTTCGACAATGTTGAGGCGGCACAATCAACCCTGAATAGCTTATCCAGAGTGGTCCCATTATTTGGTATGCACTTCGCACCTTCAAAGTGCAAAGTGTTGCTGCAGGACCACCAGCCACTTGATGACCCCTTGACGCTTGCTAACGAGGAACTCGAGGTGGTTGATCAATTCATTTATCTTGGCAGCTGCATCAGCAATGATGGGCGCATAGAAACTGACGTGAGCTCACGCATTGCAAAGACCAGAGCTGCCTTCTTGAACCTGCGTCATCTTTGGCGACAGAAGGGAGTTTCCCTCCGTCTGAAAGGCCGTGTATACAAGGCCACAGTGAGGGCCGTTCTGCTCTATAATAGTGAAACTTGGTCCCTTCGGTCTGAAGATCTGAGGCGCCTTCAAGTTTTTGATCATCGTTGTTTGCGAAGCATTGCTGGTGTCGGATGGCACCAGCGTGTCCGCAACGATGATGTGCGTGGGCGAGTACTAGGTGGTGATAATCATGCTAGCTCCCTAGAACAACAGATAGCACTGAATAAGTTGCGTTGGCTCGGGCACGTGTTACGCATGCCTGGTCACCGCTTACCTAGGAGGGCCTTGTTCAGTCTACCAGGTGTAGGATGGCGCAAGGCTCGAGGTGGACAGAAGTTGACTTGGCAGCGGTAAATGAAGTCACTGTCGACCAAACTGGGTGCCGTTGGTCCATCTCACCTTGCGGGTTGGAGTTCACGTGACTCACCTTGTGCTTGGCTCGAGACTTTACAGGACATGGCTCGCAACCGATACCAGTGGCGCGTCTGCTGCCGTCTCCTAATCGGATTGTCTGTTTAAAGTGTGTTTGGTGCTGAGTTATCAGTGGGGTAATGGCTGATTATGACGCGTGGCAGTGAAAGCCGCAAGGAAGCTGTCTCGCCGATGTCGCGTTATCTTTGCACGATAGCCAGCTGTTTGTGGCGGTATGTTGTTAACACAAGGTGTAGGCGCCTTGACCCAGAATGTTTGCTTAGGGCATTAAGGTTTTCAGGTAAGTCCCCCTTCTCTCCCTCTTCTTATTCTTTATTTCATAGTTCCTCATGGTTGTATGGCAGCGAAGCATCAGTTCAAATGGCTGATGTACTGCTGTCGATGATGATGATGATGATGTTCCAACTGTACGCGTTCTTCCTCGTTCGCTTCGTCCTGTGGTTGACTTGCCAGTTGTCCATCGCGCTTGTGTGCTAATCGCCTGTTGATCAACTCTTTTAGAGGGTTTCCTGTACCGGAAGCCCAGCGAGCGATTCGAGAAGACAGATCCAGTAGCAGGGAAACTTTTATTGGTACAGTAAAAGATTCCCTGTTATCTAGCTTTAATGGAACGACACAGTGGACGCTCTAGCTAGGGGAACGGAGCATGCACAGCACACAGGTCAGTCGAGAGTTGCAACGGAAAACGAGCGCCAGGCAAATATGGCGATGAGCAAGTCAAGCATTCGAACTCAGCAATCAGTACAACAAACCACACCGGTTGCCTAAGTGTACAATGAAATAATTCTAGTTAGAATTTTACACAGGCAAACCGGGGAAACTCCAGACTGATACACTCTTCCAGCTACGTCGAACGCGCTGAACTCATTCTACACATTGGTGTTAGAGGTGTTAACTCTATTTATCCTGTTGACAAAGACGAGCCACGCACTCTCCCACTCTCCTTTGTTCCCTACAAATTGTCATGTTGTGTTGCAAACAACCGCCCCACATTGCGACAACCTACTGTCTTCAACCCTGGTGATGACTGATCTTTGAGAAGACCGTATGCGTAACTACCTGGTGGACGTTTCGCCGCGGGATCAAAAACAATGCATCATGAGCTTTCTTGGTGACCAGGCCGCCCGGCAACTGTTGGCCTGCCGTTTACCGTCCGACGCACCCCCGGAAGCCATTTGGTCGCGCCTTCGAACACTATATCCCACAAAAACGTCCACCGCCACATACTTGCGGTCGTTTTACGCGAGGTGTCAGCTTCCTTCAGAGGACGCTCGAACATACCTCAGGGTCCTCCTAGAGTTGTCCGCCAAGTCCTTCCGCGATATGGCTCAACTTCAAGTAGAACAAGAGGTACTGCGCCGTTTCCGTGTCGGCGTGAGCAACCACACACTACTATCGAAATTCAGTCGCAAGCGGCCGTGATCGTTGGAAGAGGCAGTAGACATCGCAGTCAGCTATGAAGGTGTTGAACAATTACATTCAGACCTACGACGAACTTCCTTGGTCGAAGCCACCCTTGTCGCCCCGTCAGTTCATGCAACATACGCCTATCCTGGAAGGACTCACGCGACCGTCAGAACTGCCCTTACTGTCGAAGTTTCGGTACAAGAGCCCAGCGATGCGGTCATAACCCGCCCCTGAAGCCACGAGAAAGCAACGGTCAGTCCCCTTCAATCTCCGTGTTACCGGTATGTTTATCTACGTACAAACTCTCTATGTCCCGTTTTGCAATGCCCGGTCAAGCCCAGCTACTTATTGATACAGGTGCCACATGCTGCGTTCTACGAACAAACTTTTTCGTCGCAACGAGACTGGACCTTAACGTGGTGCGATGGTTTGCGTACCTCATTGACCCATTGAGCTATACTGGGTGATGCATCCGAGCATCTTGAGAGCTACTCCTACCAGGTTGGTCAATGGTGAGAGGTCAGACAAACTCAGTCTCCTGGTCCTCCACGTTGGGGGTTTGAAATGGGATGGCGTCCCTTTCTGTAAAACTAAATCACTGCCACCCGCTGCCTTGCGGACAGGCTTTTGAGCCAAAGGCTTTGGATGAGGACCCTAATCGTCCTCCTGTCTAGGTCTGGGCGCCCTGGCAGTATCCCAGCCCACATACAACCATGACATTTTCTTCAAACATAAACTTCATCCTGCATCGGCCGTCGCGCAGAGTATCAAGGGTCGCCTTATCTGCTGCATACAGCAGGGCGGATAAGCGAAAACATGCTACTGCTGGCGCCTCCCTTCTTTCTTTTCCACCTTTTTTCCCTTACTCCCATCCCGGCCCCCATTACTAACCTTCCTTCTATAATTCCCAGCTTAATTGACAGCAACCGAAGTGCTACTGGAGTAGTACCATCTGCAGCCACCATCCCACAGCACCTATTGGACGCCTATCGGCAAAAGTCCCTTATAAGGCCACGCTGTCCTGTTTCCATGGCGACATTCAACGTGCGCACTCTAAGACAAACAGGTCAGCAGGCTGCACTCGCACGCACCTTGAGAGTTGATGTGTTTTGTGTGTCCGAAACTAGGATTAATGACCCTATCGGGGTTATTGAATTGACTGCACCCGGCTTATCCTCTCGTTATTCGTTGCACGCATCCGGAGACGCCGATGCGGCACTCACGGGTCAAGCTGGTGTAGGTATCATTCTCAGCTCCAAGGCTGAGTCATCGTTGGTGGATTGGATTCCGGTGAACAGCCGTTTATGTGCAGCCCGTTTTACGACATCAGCTAAGGTGAATTCGCGAAGTAAAGCAAAACGCTGTTTGTTTGTGATTTCCGTTTATGCTCCCACCGACTGCAGTTCTAATGCAGTCAAGGACACATTCCATGACGAACTGAACGCGGTACTACGCAGTGCTACTAGTTCAGATATTAGAGTACTTGCAGGGGATATGAACGCACAAGTAGGGTGTCTGAGCTCTTCAGAAGCTCAGCTGGGTGGAAAGTATGGACTTAACTCTGAACGGACTGACAACGGCGAGCGTCTGCTGCAACTGTGTGCGGAGCACCAGTTGTTTCTTACTAGCACTGCTTTTAGACACAGTGGGCGTCGAAGTGCCACTTGGCGTCCACCTGTAGCTGGCCAACGATGGACCCAAATTGACTAAAGAGCCATAGGTTACAGGTGGCGCGGTTCCATTCTGGATTGCCGCTCATACTGGAATACCTGTGTCGACTCTGATCATGCCTTGGTACGCTGTCGTTTCACCATGAACTTTGCCGGAAGGCGCACAAAGCGTTTCCTCCGATTGGCAACGGAGGAATTGTCCCAGCCCTCGGTCAGGCAAGCCTATCAAGAAGCACTGCATAGCGAACTCTCGCTGTCTTGTCCTACTGACACTGAACTTCAGTGGAATAGGATCTCGGCCGCTATGCAGGACGCAGGATCACCTGTTTGTAGCACTATCCGTCGTCACCGCACCAGTCACTGGATATCCGAAAGGTTCGTGAACCTGTTGGAATCTAGAAGAAACCTCCCGGCTGGCTCTGAGCATAATGTGACCAGACGGGCTATTAGGCGCGAACTAAAGCGGAGTCTACGTGCTGACAAGGAAGCCTGGTGGACCACTTGGGCTCAAGAAATGGAGGGGGCAGGAGCAGTAGGCAATTAACGCAAGCTCTTCCAGCTAATCCGCACCACTGGTCCCAGAAAACCAGGCGTCAGTGAGAGAATCAGAGACAGCGCGGGTACGCTGATACACAATAAGGAGCGCCGTATGGCTCGTTGAGCCGAACACTTTGAAGATCAGTTCAGCTGGCCCCCTGCTCCCGGACCTCTTCCTACTCAGGTGATGCAGGACTTGCCATGGACGGTTAGTTTAGAGCCTCCGTCGGAGGCCGAGGTCCAAAAGGCGATCACAGCCCTCAATCGTTTTCGTGCCGCTGACCTGGATTCCCTCCCACCTGCACTATTTAAGGATGGAGGTGAGGTCCTCTGCAGGGCACTGACCTCCCTATTCGAACGTATCTGCAACGAAGTGTGCCGGCTAATTGGAGCGAATCGATTATAGTGGCAATATACAAGAAGGGCAGTCGCACAGACTGTGCGAACCACAGGGTTATTAGCCTAACGCCAGTTGTGACAATATTATTGGCCTCGATTATCGTTCGTCGCCTCACTGCAGAACGGGAATCTCGGATTAGGGAAGAGCAGGCCGGTTTTCGCCCAGGACGTGGTTGTATAGACCATATATTTACTTTGCGGCAGGTGCTAGAGCAGCGCCACGCATACCGCAGACCGACAATAGCTGTGTTCCTCGATTTCAAGAGTGCGTTCGATTCAGTCGATCGATCGATTCTGTTCGAATTACTTGCGCGGAAAGGTGTTCGCACGAAATATGTGAACATCCTTCATGCTCTATACTCGAACACTACAGGCCGCGTCAGGGTTTACGGTGTCCTATCGGATAGCTTTCCGACCACAAGTGGCGTTCGTCAGGGTTGTCCAATTTCCCCGTTTTTGTTCAATTTCGTCGTGGATTCTATCATGGAGTGTTCCCTTGCGGAATCCCACGATGTAGGCGTTGAAGTGCTGCCTGGTGAAAGGTTAGTTGATCTAGGTTATGCGGACGATATCGTCTTGCTTTTCGACAATGTTGAGGCGTCACAATCAACCCTGAATAGCTTATCCAGAGTGGTCCCATTATTTGGTATGCACTTCGCACCTTCAAAGTGCAAAGTGTTGCTGCAGGACCACCAGCCACTTGATGACCCCTTGACGCTTGCTAACGAGGAACTCGATGTGGTTGATCAATTCATTTATCTTGGCAGCTGCATCAGCAATGATGGGCGCATAGAAACTGACGTGAGCTCACGCATTGCAAAGACCAGAGCTGCCTTCTTGAACCTGCGTCATCTTTGGCGACAGAAGGGAGTTTCCCTCCGTCTGAAAGGCCGTGTATACAAGGCCACAGTGAGGGCCGTTCTGCTCTATAATAGTGAAACTTGGTCCCTTCGGTCTGAAGATCTGAGGCGCCTTCAAGTTTTTGATCATCGTTGTTTGCGAAGCATTGCTGGTGTCGGATGGCACCAGCGTGTCCGCAACGATGATGTGCGTGGGCGAGTACTAGGTGGTGATAATCATGCTAGCTCCCTAGAACAACAGATAGCACTGAATAAGTTGCGTTGGCTCGGGCACGTGTTACGCATGCCTGGTCACCGCTTACCTAGGAGGGCCTTGTTCAGTCTACCAGGTGTAGGATGGCGCAAGGCTCGAGGTGGACAGAAGTTGACTTGGCAGCAGTAAATGAAGTCACTGTCGACCAAACTGGGTGCCGTTGGTCCATCTCACCTTGCGGGTTGGAGTTCACGTGACTCACCTTGTGCTTGGCTCGAGACTTTACAGGACATGGCTCGCAACCGACACCAGTGGCGCGTCTGCTGCCGTCTCCTAATCGGATTGTCTGTTTAAAGTGTGTTTGGTGCTGAGTTATCAGTGGGGTAATGGCTGATTATGACGCGTGGCAGTGAAAGCCGCAAGGAAGCTGTCTCGCCGATGTCGCGTTATCTTTGCACGATAGCCAGCTGTTTGTGGCGGTATGTTGTTAACACAAGGTGTAGGCGCCTTGACCCTGAATGTTTGCTTAGGGCATTAAGGTTTTCAGGTAAGTCCCCCTTCTCTCCCTCTTCTTATTCTTTATTTCATAGTTCCTCATGGTTGTATGGCAGCGAAGCATCAGTTCAAATGGCTGATGTACTGCTGTCGATGATGATGGTGCAAAGGCGACGATCCCCAGAGGCGCGTCAACTCGCAAACACAAGCACTATCCTCACAATTATATAGAGGTAACGGAGCTGACATCGTTTCCTATTCTGCTCTCTACACACAGATGAACCGATGTCGCTCACTCCGTCGGTTCAATTTGCGGTCGTGTTTTTGCGTGGAAGCCTTATGAGCGCCTGCAACCAGACCATTGAATTTATCTGCACTCACTGCGAACAAGTGTCTGATACTGGACGACTTAATAGAGACGTTCAAAATCATGAAGGGTCCCATTGCTCTCAGGCCCACCAAACTGTTTGGACCAGCGACATCTGACAACTTACGGGGTCATTGCATGCAATTGAAGCAGCATAGATCTAGGCTTGAGTTAGGAGCCAGGTTTTTCGTCAACAGGGTTGTGCCTGGTTGGAATAAACTTCCTTCTACTCTACTGGGATGCCAAACTGTCGAGGATTTTAAACCTAGCCTAGGCAAACATTGACTAACCCTGTTCTCAGAACTTTCTTGAGATTTGGTGACTGCCACTAATGACTTCATGAAAGTGTGTTGGACGCTCGTTAAGCAAAAGTTTGTTTCGTTGCTGGATCCTGTCCTGTCCTGACTTCAACTTTCCAGAGGTTCGTTGGACAAATGTATCTCGCAACTCGGCCCTGGGATCGTTTGGTACAGAACTGCTGGACTTGACGCTGCAGGTACCACTACATCAGCCTCATTCATTGGATTGTAGAGAGCAGATGGGAGACCCTCCATCGCTTTCCGATCATTGCGGAAGCCTCGATTCGTTGAGAAACGCGATTCCACAAGGGGCGTTGCTGTTGCATTGAAAACAGAAACACCCTGGCATACTCATCATCACCATCTGCAGATAGAACTCCAACAGTTGTTTGAAACTTTTCTCAGTGTGCACGTTGACGACTTGTTGGGTGC